GCACAATAACACAACGGCGGGATGTACAAATACCGCAATCCACGCCAAATGGATATTACCAAAAATGGACTAAACAGTAAAGGTTGAAAATTTAAAAAGAACACTATAACACGCAATTATTAATAAGATGAGAAACAACGCCAGTACTTAGATTCTAAACTTCAAGACCATCATGTATTATTTGTGAAGTTGATACAGAATATTGATCAACAAGGTCTTAATTGGTATCATCCGATGAATTTTTTTAGAAAAAGGACGAGACGTTCTTTGACTAACCCTGGTTTATCAAATTTCAGCTCAGACACTGGTGACGTTTTATAAAGTCTGAGTAGCAGCTGCAAGCTCTTGAATACCGAATGAGACAGGCTATTTTTTCTTGCTTTATGTATTCCTTGAATTTGTATTTATTTTTTGATTTTAGACGTTCTTTATTAGTCATCTTATCCTTATGTCGTTTTAACTTAAACCACGGAATGTATTTTAATGTAAACTGCAATAATTCGATTAAGCCAAAACAAATCCGGGTAACAAACTAAACCGAGGAAACACATCAACTATAAGAGGAAAACAACGGAACAACAGAAACACTGAACTACAACAAAAGCAAACGCCAACATACACAGAAACGGACTGTAGATAACAACTGCCATATTCCTGACTTGGTACAGGACATTTTAAGAAAACATTGTGGGTTGAACCTGGTTGTATAGCGAGCCAAACCTACCGCTTATATGGCAATGTTTAAAATACCGCTAAAATGACAACACTACGTGACAGGAATACATTACACACATACGCAAGAACACTCAGCACAGAGAAATACATAAACAAATAATATTATAGTACATTAGTATACATGTAAACCACAGAATAACAACGGACACCTCCCATGAATTTACAACAGCACACCAGGACACCACAAACGAAATATAAACTACTCGTCACATGAATGGATCAACGTCACAAAAAGTGACGTATTATTTGAGACGTTTATATTATCACAGGTAAATTTCTAAAAATAAATTAGATGTGTTTTGTTTATAGACACGTACAAGAATGTTAAATTGGGATTGAGTTTGTAATGGTGGTATTTTATGTATATTCTAACCATGACAAGAAAATTAAAATGAAATTGTGTTTAAAATGGTGTTATTATTTGTATTTTTTAACCACGTCGGTTTTTCTTCTAAATCAAAACTGAGTATAAACAAACATATCCTGTGCATATAGTTTTCTTTAAACTTAAAATCATATAAATGAAGTATCTGATCTTTTTATCTGAACTTTTACATACATAAAGAATATAAAAAATTCAAAAGCTTCTTTCCAAATTTCATAAAAAATTCCATGAAAGGTTGACAAAGTTATTGTTTTTTGAAAAACTTTAACCGTAACTGTATCTTAATATTAACTACGAAAACAACCTAAGTCCTTTTATCAGTAAAATACAGGAAATGAGAACAAATATATTTTCAAAACTTTGCTCTGAATACTTTCTGTTGATCATCAGAAAGCTTCTGTCCACGTTTCGAAATACTCCATGAAGTTTTGACCAAGTTATTGATGTCTCAAACACTTTGACCACAGACAGGCCTTAAATGATGCCGACATCGCTAACAACGGAATGTAGAATCTCTATGTCAAAATATTGCAGGGTTGACAAAAAGGAGAAATACAAAAGGCCAAATATAAAATTGTAAGGCGAAGAAAAAGCAACACCAAAGTTACAAAAATTATATGACTTTGATCCTCAGAATAGTACATTGTAAAGGAAAAACTTTACTGAGCAAAAGCAAGCAAATCGTGAATGGATTTATGTTTTCTGGATATAAATACAGTTATGAATTTTTACAGCAAGGTTACGTGGAAGTTTGGTTAAGACCACTGTCTCCAACAGGAAAGTATGCTGTAGGAATATTGAATTCCAACACATTTGGATGGTTACAATACTTCAATAAGACACTGAGCGATTTTGGCCTTACAAATCAAATGGGATACAAGTTGACAGACGTTTTCACAGGAAAGAAGTATGGTACATATAAGATCGACTTATCTTGAAAATGGAACCAACTTCATTGTTTTTGGCTGTGGCGGTTCCACTCAATTAACACTGGGAGCACTTTTTATATTGTTAAAACTTGTTCTTTGTGAATTTCCTCAGTAAAAGTGTATTTTTTATTTAATAGATGAATGTTTGTGTTATGTAAATACAAGTGGGCTTACGTTTTATTTAAGATATACAAATATATGTTATTTCTAACCATATGTTTGACATTTCTGAGACGTGTTCCTTGAGAACCAGCAACTTTGGGGTTTTTTTTTCAGCGCCAGATACTTACTCCTTTCACTATATCACATAATTGAGAAGCCCATGTTTACCATTTCTTAAGTGATAAGTCTCCCATTCCTTGTCAAGTAAACTTGTAAAATGAAATGAGTATTTATAGCAAAGCTGTGAATTCTTGTACCATAACCTCTGCATTTTAAGTTGTGGAAAAGTAAAACGAAAATACCAAGCTCTTAGGTAAGTTCAAAAAGGGGAAGCCCATAAAAACCGGCAAAATGAAACGTTAACAACCCAAGGAAGTGAAATACAATTGTCATATTCCTGACTTAATACAGACATTTTATGAAAACAAAATGGTGGCTGAATTGGTTATCAAAGGAGCCAGACTTATAATTTAATACACTAGACACGCGTTTCGTCTACATAAGACTTATCAGTCACGCTCAATTCAAAATATATAGAAAGCCAAACAAGTACAAAGTATTAAACTTGGTTTTATAGCTAGCTAAACCTTGAATTTGTATGACAGTTGTTTATAATTCCGTTATATTGACAAAATTGGGTGAGCAACTCAAACAGTCATAAAAGGTCAATTTGACAATAATTGGGATCCAGAAGCCAAAAACTGTGAAAACATATATCACAGACATACAACACAACTGACTCAAAAATTCAAACAAACATACAAATAAATCTATCAAAGATGCCAACTAAAAAGTTGTCGTAGTTGATAGAACATACCATATATAGTATACACTTTCTCGATAAAGTACAAATTAAGTAAAATATAAATACAAGGGTAAACAAAATGGAATCAACACTGTAAAAACTTCTTGCGTCCAAAACGCACCTAAGGACCAAAATGCACTCCATGTGTGGAGTATATGACAATGAGAAAGCAGCACAATAACACAGTAAACAAGATCAACAGTTCCAGGCAATAGGTATAGCCCTATATCGTCCAAAGTCTACATAAGATGCATCACAGTAAACAAGATCAACACATGGACTTTATCATAGACCAGCTCCAGTCAATAGGTATAGCCCTATATCGCCCCAAGTCTACATAAGATACATCACAGTAAACAAGATCAAAACATGGACTTTATCATAGACCAGTTCCAGGCAATAGGTATAGCCCCATATCGCCCCAAGTCTACATAAGATACAACACAGTAAACAAGATCAACACATGGACTTTATCATAGACCAGTTCCAGGCAATAGGTATAGCCCTATATCGCCCCAAGTCTACATAAGATACAACACAGTAAACAAGATCAACACATGGACTTTATCATAGACCAGCTCCAGTCAATAGGTATAGCCCTATATCGCCCAAAGTCTACATAAGATACAACACAGTAAACAAGATCAACACATGGACTTTATCATAGACCAGTTCCAGTCAATAGGTATAGATACAAGAAGATGTGGTATGAGTGCCAATGAGACAACTCTCCATCCAAGTCATTATATAAAAGTAAACCATTATAGGTCAAAGTACAGTCGTCAACACGCAGCCTTTGCTCACACCACACAGCAAGCTATAAAGGGCCCCAAAAATTACTAGTGTAAAACCATTCAAATGGGGAAACCAATGGTCTAATTTATATAAATAAACAGCTGCGCCATGAGCGCATGATATGCCCGTTGTCTTGTGTGTGAATTTTTATGCAATAAGCATAAATAGTTTCTGACATACGGCGTGACATGCGAAAACTCCCTTTTTTTTTTACAAAAAACTCAATATCTCTAAAATAAAACTTTGAATCAAAACCAAAATGTATACAGATCTTTAGATTAATATAACTAAGAAGTGTGTAAAATTTAAAGCAATAATCATAAATCGTTTTTGAGATACGGCACGACATGTGAAAACCCCCCCTTTTAAAAAAAAAAAATCAATATCTCAAAAATAAAATTTTGAATCAAAACCAAAAAGTATACAGATCTTTAGATTAATATAACTAAGAAGTGTGTAAAATTTTGAGCAATAATCATAAATCGTTTTAGAGATACGGCGCGACATGTGAAAAACCACTCCCCCTTTTTTTTACAAAATACTCAATAACTCAATAATAAAATTTTGAATCATCACCAAAAAGGATACAGATCTTAAGGTTAATATAACTAAGAAGTGTGTAAAGTTTTAAGCAATAATCATAAACTGTTTTTGAGATACGGCGCGACATGTGAAAAACCCCTCCCCCTTTTTTTAACAAAATACTCAATATCTCTAAAATAAAATTTTGAATCATCACCAAAAAGTATACAGATCTTAAGATTAATATAACTAAGAAGTGTGTAAAGTTTTAAGCAATAATCATAAATTGTTTTTGAGATACGGCGCGACATGTGAAAAAAAACACACACCTGTTTTAGTTACTAAGTCCCGTAACTCAAAAAGTTTTAATCTTATTTTCACCAAAAAGTATACAGATCGTTTGACCATCATAAGAAACAACTATGTTAAGTTTCATGAAATTTGGATAAGTCATTCTCAAGTTACGGTGCGACATGTTTACGCCGGACAGACAGACGGACAGACAGACGGACGGACGCCAGACATTTGTATAACATAATACGTCCCGTCAAAAATTTGACGGACGTATAAAAACGAGAAACCAGAATAGCCCTTTATTGCCCCAAGTTTACATAAGATATGAATGAATTCAACACAGATTACAGAAATTAAGAATAAAACACAAAAAAAGTTTACCATCATTATTTTTATTGTAATAGGGTTTGCATAATCAAAAAATATAATTTGAATAATTTACATCTATTTTACATCTCTGAAAGGTTATTTTGCATACAAGAAAATATATATCACAAAACAATCAATGGAGGGATTAGTATTACTACAATGTTTCATAATAGTTGAGGGTCTAGAGGGGGGCCTTTATTTTTTTTGCTCTTTAATTTCAGGCCATTTTTCACTATTCTTTATTCACTTTGCCAATTATTCTCTATTCTTTACTATTTTTCTCTATTCTTTATCCCCCCCCATTATTCTCTAATTCTGTAAACCCCTTCTAGACCCTCATAGTCCACATCAAATTATTATGTAAGTGTTTTACAATACAAGAGTCTACTCAAATGTAACAACTTATACTTATGTTTGAGGGGCCTGATGTGGGGGGGTGTCTCATCATGATTTGATTTTTTTGTCAATCACGATTCACAGAAAATAAATTTCCATGATCACAGATCACGAAAATATAAAAAAAAAAAATCTGTAGAAAAACGGATCACAATAGCGAAAATGCGCCGATCACGAAGAACGAAAATAACCCATCAGGCCCCTCATGTTTTATCAATCAGCCTATATAAAAAAAAATTAATATATTGCTAATTCACCATCAATTCAACAAAATAATTTCTCGAAATATTTAAAAAAAATATAAACATATTGCTGTTTCTGGAACTGCAATCCTCAATTAATTATATATTACTCGCATTTGTTGTTGTGGTATTTTTGTACTTTCACAGCCAGACTGCTCTGCAGAAAATGGTTAACAAAGTATAATATACATAAAAGATAAAATTTTAAATATTAAAAAAAAATGTATACTAAATTTCTGAAAAAAAAAAATATATGGAAAAAATCTCAAAATCACGCACTATATGTATATAACTAATGATTCACAGTAAATTCCAGTAACTTAAAGGGGAAATTCTGGAAATAATTGAAAAATTCAGATAAATGCTATGTTTTTTTTCTTTAACATAACATTATTTCTGAACAAGGTCACCAGAATATTTTTCTCAATATACAAAAAACTTATATACAACCCATGACCTATGATATGTTACAAAATTGAAATTTGACACTACAATTTTTTACTTAGGATACATTATAGTAGACCTTATTGCTGTTTTTGGATACCCTGACACTTGACCTATTGACATTATATGCAATCATTTTGCTCTTTGCAGTCAGACCTTTACTCTTGTGTCATCGAAATTTTTACGAAAAACATGTGTGGTAACCAAATAAAGGCAGACAAATAGCCATAAGGTGTATCTTAAGATGTTTTCTTTCTCTACAACCAATCATAAAACAAGATATGTACAAAAGTAGTAACAACCCATTATAACATGACATCTGGTGATGAATATCTGCATAATTTACATAAAATGGTTTACTTATTCAAATAAGACAAAATACAGATGCATATGCAATGAAACAAATCCTAATGGAACTTGTGTGTGATTGACTAAATGTGTGTTGCCCTATTACTAAATAATGAAAAGACTCTTGTTTGTGCAATATAATTCGAAATTCGAAATAAGAAAAGCATCTAATTATATATTTAACCAAAAATGTTTTAAACTTCGGACAGATTATCCACTTATTAACCACTTAATACAATTAATCAAAATACTGTTCTATAATTAGAATGACATTTTTTTATAAATAGAATGACCTTTTTTATAAATAGAATTACCTTTTTTTATAAAAAGAATTACCTTTTTTATAAATAGAATTATCTTTTTTATAAATAAAATATCCTTGATATAAAAGATTGTCCTTTTATTATGTTGCTATTATAAAATATGATCGATCAAGCAAAGAAAATATAAAAATTTGAAGGCCGTACCTTGACCTATAATGGTTTACTTTTATAAATTGTAACTTGGATGGAGAGTTGTCTCATTGGCACTCATACCACATCTTCCTATATCTATATGCAAGTCTTGTGTAAAATGACAGTAGAAATTGTGCATAAGTAATCTTGAGGTTAAATAATGTTAAAAGTGTACTCTGCCACAGTTGACATTCTCAGACATAATAATACAAAGAGAAATATAAAGTTCTTGTAATGTAAAAATAAGGAGATGTGGTATGATTGCGACAACTATCCACCACACCAGAGTTCAAATACATGTTAGTGGATATAATTAATTATAGGTTACCATACGGCCTACAACAGTGAGAAATACAAATACAGTGTAGGTCTTCTGTAAAATTACAACAGAATTGTCTTGGTGAACTGTCTGCATAATTTATCTTGAGGTTTAATAATGTTGAAAGTATATTCTGCCAATACAGTTGACATTCCCGGAATTAACATTGCAAAGTTAACGGTTTTAGTGATTTGCCTTGTTTATTTTGATGTGAATATAATATCTGAGAACTTAAAAAATTGTAAAATATTGTATAGAACATCTTTCTAATTTAGAGAAATAATAATAAAGAAACAGAGGATCTCTTATCATCCTTTATACATACATAAACACTGATAAGTAAGACACTTAATATATATATATATATGCTGCCTAAAGATTACAATTAAGACACATCAAATTATTTTTCCTTGAAAAAAGATTAAGAAGCCTAAAAATCCGTCAAAAAACTAATCCTGATAAACATTTTAAAATCAACAGGTCAGTATCATAAGACAATCAGTATTTTGCAGTAATCTTAAATTTAACTGATTAACTGCAATTTTAACTTTAAAAAACTTGTTATAGTGGGCTATTGTTACCTTATTTCATTTCTCTATAATATCATAAAATATGCATAAATTTTGTATTTTTGCAGAATGCAGAACAATAACCTTGTAGTAAAAAAATTTATTATGGGAAATCCAAATTTGAAAAATCAATTTGATGTGGTCTATACTGAATAAACATAAATCTTTCCATTATCAAGTAAATCTATATATAGAATATGTAACACTGACTAACAACATCATAATGTGATATTTATGTCTATTGTAATGATCAAGGCCAAATAGATATATTCTTGGTTAAAAGACTTTCTCTTTGACACTTGATATTGGTTTTGATTATGATATATAAACAATTATCTATATAGTATTTGAATATTTGCAGATGTATTGTGTTTTTTCTGCTGTATTTTGAATTTCACCAATACATTTACAAATACAAAATGTATATCTTATTGTAAAATCTAAATTTCTGCAAATAGTTACTACAATGCTAATGCACAGCCTTGATTTAGTCTATTAAATAATCGAAATACTGTAAACCATTTAATTTTCGCAAGCTATTTATTTTTTGCGAGTAGAAAAATTATGTGAAAAAATTGTTGCCAATATGTATCTATTGGACCTTTCCCTATATAAATACATCATGAAAATCAGAAAATTGAGAAAATAAATAGCTGTGAAGTTGGTTAGAAAGGGGTAAATGCCAAACAAAGTATCTGCGAAAATAAGTTGGTTTACAGTATTAAAATTGTCCAAATTAAGAATACTGCTAAAACATGATACTTACATCTAAATCATTCAGAATAATTACACTGCACAAGAAAACAGGATAAAGTGAAACATTCCAATGCACTTGATTTACACTAACCGTAAATTTTTAAGCCCCATATAACTTCATGACACGTACAAAGTTTTTAGTGATAATCCATTCCAGTCATTTTTTATAAAATTTATGTACACCTAGGGTCTTTTGATGATAAAACGAACAATATATATTGGAAGTTATGTAATATTGAACCCATTGATTTTCTGTCATATGTGTAAAAGGAAATATTGCTATTTTCATAAATTTTGCTTTTATCTTTTTTTGTGTGATATTTTTTCATATCATGCTACTGGACTGAGAATGGCTTTTTTAAGTTGAACAGAGAAAATATGATAATATCATAAGCCTATTATGTCTTTGACATTGCCTAGGAATACAGTGATAAACAGATTATCAATAATCTTTCAATCTCAAGGATGTTTCTTGGCTACATCTCATCTCAAGTCTATCTACCTCCGATGAGATTGCAGCCAAAATCACCCTCTCATTTGAAAAAAGTCAATAATCTATAAATAAAGAGTTAACATCACTTCCCTGTTCTTACTGTTTTATCTTTTTTTCATAGATAAACATTTAATAGTATTGCAGACATAGCAATATCAATGTGGAAAATCTTTAAATTGGGTTATTCAAAGTAAACTTTACTTCCAACAGATTCAGTACAATATACAGAATTCAATATACTTTTGTATTTACAAAGCATGTAATACTGTAAATTCAGAAACTATTGTGAGCAATTATTATTGCGAATTTTTTTGAATGGACTAAAATGCGAGATTAATTATTGCAATTTCAGGAAATTCTGCATGCAGTTATATGTATCACATATAATAATGCAAGTTCTTATTATTGTGATACTCATTCAGTTGCATTATTCGCATTAATAGAAGCCTCACGATAATTTCTAAATTTACATTATCTTGAATGTCCTCTAATCCACACTACTTGACAATATACGAATCTTTAAGCACTCTACTGATGCATAACCAACCCCTTGATATGATATGATATAAAGAATGTACAAATATACAGGTTAATAAACCCAATTAATGGGCACCCATTGCTGCTCAGAACTTAAATTGTCTAATTCTCGTCTCAAAGTTCTATATGTTTCATCAAAATTATCGTTGACGATTGTAAAATCAAACATCCCTTTGTATACTCTTTCTATGTTCTGACTTTCCTGTATGGTCTCATAAAAATCATGTTCCTGAAAAAAAAGGTTGAATTGCGTGTTACTGTTACAATATATATATATATAAGTATTCTGTTAACAGGAAATGGATAAGTGATGAATCTGAAAACACATTCCACAGTGAAGCATGCTCACGTAACGCCTGATACAAAAGGAGAAGGTCTAGTAAGGGCTAGTTTCGGCCTAAAACTCAAAGTACATCTGATGAAAGATTTTTGACATTTTTTAAACACTTAAGTGTCTACTTCAGTCGATTCAATTAGTTTATGTTGAAAATATGAAACTCATTTGGTCATTAAAGACGCTCAAATTCAAGCTTAAAAATGAAAAATCTATCAAATATGCCATGAAATGTCACTTTTCAGATGCTTTTTGTCTAAAATGGAAGTGGCCGCATTCGTGTTGACAGTCTCAACATTTATATGTGTAATGTATTAACATTAAATACAGCATATATTTAAATATTAAGACTGAACACAAGTGAGGCCTAAAAACACATTCCACAGTATAGCATGCTCACAAAATATCAGGAAGTTCTGATTTGTAGTTTCTTAGATATATGTGCGAGGGAAATTTCATTGGAAGGACAGACAGTCAGACGAACAAACAAAGAGATTGTTGTCCAATAAATAATACTCACAGTTTTAACTTCAATTGTGCCATGACCACTTGCCTAAAATAAGAGACATACATAAGTGATTATACAGCAATTTAAGAATACATAATTTATGTAATGAAAAACTAATTAATTAATACTGATGAAATGTATAAATCATTAGAAACTCTCAAACATATGCCCTATCAAAATAGGTATGTAAAATCTTAATCCCACTATTATGACAGTGCCGATTAAACTTTTATAAACTAATTAGGGATCTAAAGATGGACTGTTTTAAGACATAATTTCTTGTCTGTTTAATAGAAGTACCTACATCTATATTTCTAGTGTCAACAAATTTTCTAGACATTTTAATTAACCACTCATTTATTTCTGATACATAATTACAGTACCTTGATAAAAATTTTAAATAAATGGAGAATGTGTCCATGGGTCAAAGATGATGCCCCTGCTTGCACAAAATGTTATAAGGGGACATAACTAGAGATCTGTGTTTTATGGTAATAAGCTTTGCGTACAAGTTTCATAACATTTGGTTGAGGCAAACTAAACAATTTTTCCATTTATAAAGCGGTTTAACTCAGGAACGGTAAAAGTTACGCCACCCAAATTCCAACTTAATCTGCGTTTTGTTTTAATAAGCTTTGTGTATAAGTTTCATAACATTCGGTCAAGGGAAACTAAAGTTAGAGAACGGAAACAAATTTCGGGATGTATGGACAGACAAGGGTAAACCTTAATGCCCCTCTGCTACAGTGGGGGCATAAAAATCTTTATTTGGTACTCTAAACTAATCTAATTGGATAATCCAAAGTATCAAGAATTAAATGGAAATAAACTACAATATAACATAGAATTCAATGCCATTTTAACAAATCAAAGACAACCAGTAAATCTGGAGAAAATACCAATTTTATATCATTTGTTCCCAGAATAAATGCTGTTGACTTAATCTGATTGAAATACAGATATTGTGTCCAAGCTTTGCTTACAAGGATTTGACAACTCTCACTTTAATTTCTGATCTGGTAATTGTTACATCAGCCAATGAAATTTCAACCTGCAATTTTTTGAAGGTGTGTATGAATCTCGAGGACCCAGAAAGGTCTGGAAGAATGGAGAGCAGATCCTCATGGACACACAGGACCTGTATTTTAATCAGTTTGTAGAAAGCTAAGTCAGCAACAATCAACCAACAGTGAAATATCTATACATAAGCTCAATGAAATTGATCATGCATAACGTCATAAAGAAAATACTATGAAAGCATTAACATTTCTATATAAAGCAAGGTTTTAGGAAGTCAGTGAATATTAATCACAAATGTGTAGCATGGCAATACAATTATTACTACACCAATAGTAAGGTTTCAATATAAATCACTTCATATGTCTTAAACATGTGAAAAAGTTTTAAAAGCTGAGTAATTTTGTTTTCTTATTCATCTCTTCATCTAACTTATATATATTCTTGTAAATATGCGGGAAGTTAAGGTTTACTGTTTGCATTTTTATTTGAGGTTTTACGTTCTTGAAGTTAATTATTCACATGTTTCTTGCAAATTGGTAAAATTACCAGTTTTTCATTCATTGTGAAATAGACATTTTAATTCCCTTTTTTTTGTAAATACACCCCCTTTACGACCCTCATTAATGCAGCTGTACTCACCCCCTTACGTCCTACCAAACCTCTCCGCCTGCCTTCCTCATACATTCTTTTTAATGCCTCAATACCAGGTGCAGCAATAAATACTACAAATGGCATATATTCGGCTGTCTTCAAAACTTTTAAAGACTGAAAAAATAAAAAATAAATGGGAATTAGAAGTAAATAAGATAATCATACTTATTTCCCAATAATAAGTTGGATAATGGTGCATATAGTGCATTTTTGTGATATCATGCATTTGGAATATCAAACTAAAATGTTACTACATCATGCAACAGTAAACAATAACAATGTAGTTTGAAATTAGTCTATAATTAATGTTGACTAATCCCCCCCCCCCCCCCCCCCCCCCAACGATTCAAATAAAAGAACAGCACTATAGTGACCCATTTCATATTTTATCTGTTCAAGTAAAAGAACAGCACTCTAGTGACCCATATCTGTTCATGTGCGATAACTCAAATTATTTTCTATTTCAAGCACAAAAAACATTCAGGTTATAAAAAGACATTGTTCATATAAAACTTTAATATAATTTTCATAAATATTTGACATGAAATATGTCGGACTGAGATATACTCTACATTTCCAAGGGGCCTAGATGATCTGTGATGATTTAAGAAATTGTTCAAGACATTGCTGAGAGCACTTAAGCACTTTTAAACATAATTTACATTTCCCAGGGGCATAACTTTAGTAAAAATAGTTAATTGTTACTGATGTTCAAACTCATCCAAGACATTACTGGTATAAATCTTTGATATAAATGTTATACAAATCTGACATGAAATGTAGGCATTGTCCTTGGTTCATATCTGTCATATTTGTTTTGTATATATTAGGCCGTTAGTTTTCTCAATTGAATTGTTTCATATTGGGGCCTTTTGAAGCAGACTATACGGTATGGGTTTTTCTCATTGTTGAAAGCCTTACGTTAGCCTATAATTACTTACATCCACTTCTTTTGAACTTTGGTGGATAGTTGTCTCATTGGCAATCATACCACATCTCCTTATTTTTATATTAGATGGTTGCCTATATTGCTTACATCAACTTCATTTGAACATTGGTGGATAGTTGTCTCATTGGCATTCATACCACATCTCCTTATTTTTATATAAGAGTGCTTGCAAGACTGGAGGGATAGATGAACCCCCAGTATTCTATGTCTACTACTCCCTGTTGTAGTAGGAGCAAAAAAAGCAAAAGTGTTTTGTTTAGTTGAAAGAGCATTCAAAGTATCAGTATGCAAATCAAAGACAGTATAGCTTGAGATCAAATTGTTCTTTTTATCAATCAAAATATATTGCATATATATCCAGTTATAAATTGCTATATGGCAAAAGCATGCTTAATATTAAACAACTGACTTATAATAAAAATTAAATGTAAAAACAGTGCATTTCTATTGAGGTGTAATACCACCAAATCATAGAACGTCACATCCGGTTGCATACAAAAAAGTGTTGAAAAAAAATATTCCCTTGAATTTGACAGTTGTAGGAAATTAATACTATGTTTCATTGCAGTAAAAAAATTCTGAGTTATAAACATATATCTTGGGTGTTTCAAAGTACCATTATTTTTTTATATGGTGTTTCTATAGAATATTTCAGAAACTTGAGGTTACATGGTTACGAAAGCTAGTACACAGGAAAAAAAGAGGTGAAAATTTGATTGGTTCCAGTGATGGTTATTTTCTTATATGTAATGAAATGTGATGTGAAATTTTGTCTACAGTACTGGACAGGATAACACTTTATTCATGCCAAGTATTTCTTTATTTGAAACAAAGATAAATTCTGCACAATTTTTTGAAAAGTGCAAATTTAACAAAGACTAATAGGGGAAAATCAATGGTGGTATTTATACACCTTAAACATAATGTAACTACAGCGCATTCTATAGAACTTACAGTGGGACTAACATCCAGAACACACATTTTTCCATCCATGGTAACATTATGAATAGAGTCCAGTTTAGTTCCATAAAGATTACCATTAAATTCTCCCCATTCAATGTATTTTCCTTCCCTAATTTCTTCATCCATGCCTTCTCTATCTGTAAAATAGTACCCCTTGCCATGGACTTCTCCTTCTCTTGGTGCTCTTGAAGTATCTATAATAATCAAAATACTCACAATTTTAGCACACAGCTGTTTCTTTTATCCTTATCTTCAGTATAATTGCATCAAAACAATAATTTGTAGATTTCTCACTGGTCAAAGGGAGACAACTAAAGGATTTCAGAATTTTAAAAGAAGTTATATAGCTATAGCTTCACAATTGCATACTAAATATCAATATCTACAATTTGTCTTCAAAATGTAAAAATATGACAATATTCTATATAGCTTAATGGGTGTAAACCTATGTTATACAAGAAACCTTTTAACTAAATAGAAACAAACATTTTGCTTTCATTGAAAATCACAAATGAAAACTATATTTTAACCACCACAAAGATCACTTTATATCCCTTATCAGTTAAGCAGCAGTATAAGAAAGGACTTATATAATAAAACAAGAATGTGTCTGAGGACATGAATGCCAGCTGCTCCAGCTTTGCAATTTTCCAAGTTAAAAAGGGGCATAACTCTAGAATGGTAAATGACTCACTACCCAAATTCGAACTCTGTCTGCATATTGTGGTTCTTAGCATTGTATACTAGTTTCATAAAAATTTGGATGAAGCAAACTTAAATCAGAGTGCAGAAACCAAAATGGGACGGACGGACAGAAAAACAGTCAAGGGTAACACTTAATGCCCCCGTTGCCTCTGGCGGGGGCATAAAATCCTAACAAAAGTCTGTTTTAATGTACGAATTTTAAACATTTAATACATCCTTCCTTTGTAAGAGTTATTCTTGAAAACAAATGTTTTAATGAATATTTAATTTGACCTTTATCCACTCAGCAGTACCTCATACCATATATGCATCTAGAGGTAAAAGAGTAATAATTACGTGGCATAACAGCTCCAAATCTCCTTGGATCGTCTTTCAGTAGTTTTTGTTTGAGTGCTCTCCTGCCCACTCCACTAGCCCCTACCAAGACTAACGTCTTTCTCTGGAATGGCGGCATTTTGGTCACCTCTTCATAAATGGTTATTTCACATTTATCAAACTCTTAAAAGAAAATATGTGAATTAATGTAGATATGAATAATACATCAATATAGACAGCAACATGACAATACAAATAAATGGATAATGTGTCCATGGGACACAGATGACGCCCCTGCTTGCATATAATTAAATGAAGGGACATACCTTAGGAAGGGTATAAGTGACAACACCCAACTTCGATCCAGATCTGAGTTTTGTGATAATAAGCATTGTGTATAAGTTTCATAACATTTGGTTGAGACAAACTTCAGTAACAGAACAGAAACAAAAAATTCAGCAATTTTTCCATTTGTAAAGGTGCATAACTCTAGAATGGTAAAAGTGACGGCACCCAAATTCAAACTAGATCTGTGTTTTGTGGTAATAAACATTGTATACAAGTTTCATAACATTTGGTTGAGGCTAACTTAAGTAAGAGAATGGAAACCAATTTCAGGACAAATGTACAGACGGACAAGGGTATCACTTATTGCTCCCTCTGCTGCTGTTGGGGGATTCAAAAAATGACAACTAGAGGTCAAGATATGGTATCAACAATATTGATATGTCTGTACAAATTGTATATAATTATGACTCTACCTGTACTGTAATTTACCTTTATGTTTACTGCTTGTGTAAATTATGACTCTACCTGTACTGTAATTTACCTTTATGTTTACTGCTTGTGTAAATTATGACTCTACCTGTACTGTAATTTACCTTTATGTTTACTGCTTGTGTAAATTATGACTCTACCTGTACTGTAATTTACCTTTATGTTTACTGCTTGTGTAATTTATGACTCTATCTGTACTGTAATTTACCTTTATGTTTACTGCTTGTGTAATTTATGACTCTACCTGTACTGTAATTTACCTTTATGTTTACTGCTTGTGTAATTTATGACTCTACCTGTACTGTAATTTACCTTTATGTTTACTGCTTGTGTAATTTATTTTCTTCTTCTTTCTCCTTTTCAGACCACACACTGAAATCAAAATTCAACACACACTGAAATCAAAATTCAATTTCCCATAAACATGAGAAATATAATAGTAAAATTCAAGAAGAATATGTCCATAGGACACAGATCCTCGCTTGTAAATATGCAAGAGTCAATGTTCTGATTCAAACCTACAAACATTTTGTTTTCTTTGAAAATTAATGACATTTATTTCTGTATGTTGAGTGCGCCAAACATCAAATTTGGCAATTTTTATTTATAAAGGGGCATAACACAAGAATGATAAAAGTGACGCCACCCAAATTTGAATTTGATCTGTGATTGGTGGTAATAAGAATTTGTATATGTTTCAGAACATTTGGTTGTGACAATGTAAAATTAAAGTGGGGTAACTGCAAATTTGCCTAGTTTTCCATTTATAAAGGGACATAACTCCAGAGCAGCAAAGGTGACACCACTCATGCTCAAACTTTATCCGCGTTTGGTGGTAATAAGCATTGTGTATAAGTTTCATAACATTTGGATGAGGGAAACTAAAGTTAGAGAATGAAAACTTATTTTCGAATGTACCTTAATATTTCTGTCCAAGACTTATCACCTACATCATGACGATTAAACTAACATTAAGACAAATTCTAAGTTAACTTTTCATTTAAAGACCTAAACAAAGATTTTTGAATGCCATTATATTCCCTCACTTTAAGATGATTTGTATAACTTACATAAACTGCTTTTAGAGTAATCATAGTCTGGTTGAACGAATGCCTTTCTTTTCTCCTCTAATTGCTGTGATGGAATCAGTCCTGTCGGTCCTTCTCCATCCTTCACTACCCTTCTGGCCTGAAAATTATCATCAAACATTTATAATAACTTTTGATTTTAAAATTTGTTGTCTCAAAGATTTGTTTGATCATATTTAATGCCCATGTGTTAACTTTTATATGCCATTAACTATTTATATCTAAATTCTGAATAATCTCAACGGATACTTAAACATTTTGTTCATCTTGAACGGCAAATGCAGTCATTTGCAAATGCTTGTTTGGGATTGTCAATAAACATTTTTTTTCATCTCTTTAGTGAAAATGATGGGGTTTATAGAACATTCAATGAAAGATATTTGCCATAGCTTTGTCAGTTTTTCATGGACTTGTGAGTTAGAATAGCCCTGGGTACCCCCGTCCTCTCTTTTATAGGTTTCATAACAAGTGAAATGTGATTATCTTTGATATCAACTCCAAGTCATTCATCTTTTAATTCATTGATAAACCATCCTTTGGTAAGTTTTTATCAAAATTTAAATTAAATATAAAGAGTTGTTATTTATAGATTATCAATGGTTCTGAAAATAAGATGAAATTTCTCGGCTACAATCATATCAAAGGGCAAGTTGAAAGACCATAGATAATCTGTCTATTGCTATTTTCCTAGGGAACCTTAATGACTAAGGCTTATGAAGCAGTGTTCTCCCCAGGGCCCTTTAGCATCATGGTAATGTGATACTATATTGCTAGAACGTGATGCTGTCTGAAGTGATTTTCTTGTAGATAGTGTTATGGATGTGATGCTATAATTTCTAATCAAAGCACGAAAGCGCTGTAAAGGCAGTTAATTACAGGTTGTGTGTATTTTAAGTCCAGTTATATCATTATCTTGCATAGTACAGTGTACTTATCAGAGGTGGCTTTCAGTATTTAAGATTTAGAGTTCTCTAATGATATTGAATAAGTTTTATGAATGTCATATTCTGAGCACTATATGAAGGCGATTGTACTCACTTGTTTATGAACTAGTGCATTATGTCTAGTTTGTACCTTTTTTATCTATGTTTATAGTCAAATTAGTTATCAAAGGTACCAGGATTATAATTTAATACGCCAGACGTGTGTTTCGTCTACATAAGACTCATCAGTGACGTTCAGATCAAAATAGTAACAAAGCCAAACAAGTACAAAGTTGAAGAGCATTGAGGACCCAAAATTCCAAAATGTTGTGCCAAATACGGCTAAGGTAATCTATTCCTTGGATAAGAAAATCCTTAGTTTTTTCATTGGCAATCATAACACATCTCCTTATTTATATAATGATCTATATTCAACGACCTCAGGTACGAAAAAAATGTATGTAACTAAACTATGATGGGAAACCTTTGACTTCTTTCTTTATATAAACTTTTGATTTGGTACCATAGAACTATGTAGAGTAAATGTACATTGCAACATGTCAACTCTTTCAACTCCAAGCAAAATTATATTTCCAAGCATAAAGTAATTTATGAATGAAACAAAATGCTCCGCTGGGGCGCAGCTTGATACGACCGCAGAGGTCGAACCCTGAACAGTTGGGGTAAGTATGAACACAACATTCAAGCTTGATTCAGCACTGAATTTGGATTGTAATTAAATATTTGACACAGCATAGGTTTCTGACACAGAATGAAAGTGGTCTAAGATACTTAAAAAAATTTAATTTACCTATTCAAACCATATCATTATTATTTGCTTTTATATATAAATCAGAAATAACCAATTTAAAATGGAAAATTTTAAAGAAAAAAAAGGAAAAAGAATCCCCCCCCCAAATTTTTTGAACCCCCTTATGATTCATCACCCCAAAACTCAATCCCAGCCTTCCCTTTGTGGTATGGTACCTTGCAGTACAATTTCAGAGAGATCCATACACTTGAACACATGTTATTGTCTGGAAACTAGAAAAATGCTTGTTTTTTTGCCCCTTTTTGGTCCCAAATTCCTAAATGTTTAGGGCAATTACCCCCAAACTCAAACCCAGCTTTCCCTTTGTGATATGGAACCTTGTAGTACAATTTCATAAAGATCCATACACTTACACACAAGTTATTGCCATGAAACTAGAAAAATGCTTGTTTTTTGCCCCTTTTTGGCCCCTAATTCCTAAAATTTGAAGGCAATTACCCCCAAAATCAATCCCAGCATTCCCTTTGTGATATGGAACCATGTGATACAATGTCAGAGAGATCCATAGACTTACACACAAGTTATTGTCATGAAACTAGAAAAATGCTTGCTTTTTGCCCCTTTTTGGCCCCTAATTCCTAAAATTTGGAGGCAATTACCCCCAAAATCAATCCCAGCATTCCCTTTGTGGTATGGTACCTTGCAGTACAATTTCAGAGAGATCCATACACTTGAACACAAGTTATTGTCTGGAAACTAGAAAAATGCTTATTTTTGGCCCCTTATTCCTAAACTTTTTGGGCAATTACCCCCAAACTCAATTCCAGCTTTCCCTTTGTGATATGGAACCTTGTAGTACAATTTCATAAAGATCCATACACTTACACACAAGTTATTGCCATGAAACTAGAAAAATGCTTGTTTTTTGTCCCTTTTTGGCCCCTAATTCCTAAAATTTGGAGGAAATTACCCCCAAATTCAATCCCAGCATTCCCTTTGTGATATGGAACCTTGTGATACAATGTCAGAGAGATCCATAGACTTGCACACAAGTTATTGTCATGAAACTAGAAAAATGCTTGTTTTTTTCCCCTTTTTGGCCCCTAATTCCTAAAATTTGGAGACAATTACCCCCAAAAATCAATCCCAGCATTCCCTTTGTGATATGGAACCTTGTGGTACAATATCAGAGAGATCCATACACTTACACACAAGTTATGTCTGGAAGTTACAAAAATGCTTATTTTTGGCCCCTAATTCCTTAACTGTTGGTACCATAACCCCCAAAATCAATCCCCACTTTCCTTTTGTGGTATTGAACCTTATTTTAAAATTTCATTGAGATCCATTCACTTAAACTAAAGTTAGAGTGCGAAAACTAATGTGTCTTCGGACGACGACGACACCGACGACGCCAACGTCATACCAATATACGACCACAAAAATTTTTTTGCGGTCGTATAAAAAGGAGTTCTTAATTAAGAAATAAACTGATTCGCTGAGCGCAGCTGGATACACCCGCAGAGGTACTACCCTGAACAGCTGGGGCAAAAATGGACACAATATTCAAGCTTGATACAGGTCTGAATTTGGATTGTAATTAAATATTTGACATATTATAGTTTCTGAATAAATGTAGTCAATGAACTTGAAATCGGTTATATGAATTGAATTTATATTCAATTAAAGATTTCTTGCTGTTGTGCAATACACTGTGCTGTTGTGCAATACTTAATAAATCTGTTGCCAGACTATAAACAAATAAAGTTCAATTTCTTCTCAATGTCATATTTGAAATTTATGAAAATCAATAGGGAGATTACATCAATAGCTATAAATAATTCACCAAAGTTTCATGTGAACTGCTTAAAGCATTTTTGAGTTGTTGTCCAAAAACTGGAAAATCCACCCTTTTTTGTCGAGCCTTCGACTTTTGTCGAAAAAGCGAGACATAGCGATCCTACATTCCATCGGCGTCGTCGTCGTCGTCGTTGTCGTCGGCGGCGTCCACAAATATTCACTCTGTGGTTAAAGTTTTTGAAATTTTAATAACTTTCTTAAACTATCCTGGATTTCTACCAAACTTGGACAGAAGCTTGTTTATGATCATAAGATAATATTCAAAAGTAAATTTTGTAAAAAAAAAAATCCATTTTTTCCGTATTTTACTTATAAATGGACTTAGTTTTTCTGCCAAGAAACATTACATTCACTCTGTGGTTAAAGTTTTTGAAATTTTAATAACTTTCTTAAACTATCCTGGATTTCTACCAAACTTGGAAAGAAGCTTGTTTATGATCAAAAGATAGTATCCAGAAGTAAATTTTGTTAAAAAAAAATTCCATTTTTTCCGTATTTTACTTATAAATGGACTTAGTTTTTCTGCCATGAAACATTACATTCACTCTGTGGTTAAAGTTTTTGAAATTTTAATAACTTTCTTAAACTATCCTGGAATTCTACCAAACTTGGAAAGAAGCTTGTTTATGATCAAAAGATAGTATCCAGTAGTAAATTTTGTAAAAAAGTTAAAAAAAAAATTCCATTTTTTCCGTATTTTACTTATAAATGGACTTAGTTTTTCTTCCAGTTAGCATTACATACAGTCTGCACTTTAAGTTTTTAAAACATTTATTAGATTCATAAACTATCCTGGATTTTTACCAAACTTGGACAGAAGCTACTTACAATCAAAAGATAATATAGAGAGGAATATTTTTATTAATTTTTTTCCTCATTTTTGTTGAGCCTGCGATTAACAGCAAAAGTAGGCAAGACACTGGGTTCCACGGAACCCTTACGAATTTTTAATGAATAAAACCCCATAACTCAGAAATGTAAAATCTAAAATTTATAAAATTCTAAAGGGAGCTTACGGATTGATAATTTAGTCTTAGATGCAAGATTTTTTTATCAGTTGTTAGTGGCTTTGAACTAGCTGTCAGTAACTGCGAGTACTCTCAGATTTGTACTTAGTGTCTTTTTGTTGTTTGGATGTACAACTACCCGACCACGTCCACTTGTATTTGTATTTATCCATCTGATGAGTTTAGCTTCTTTCAACAGATTTTTATAGTTCTTTCTTATATTGTACTGTTACACCACTGTCCCAGGTTAGGGGGAGGGTTGGGATCCCGCTAACATGTTTAAGCCCGCCACATTCTGTATGTACATGTATGTGCCTGTCCCAAGTCAGGAGCCTATAAAAGTGTAATTCAGTGGTTGTCGTTTGTTTATGTGTTGCATATTTGTTATATTTGTTCATTTTTTTACATAAAATAGGCCGTTAGTTTTCTTGTTTGAATTGTTTTACATTGTCATTTCTGGGCCTTTTATAGCTGACTGTGCGGTATGGGCTTTGCTCATTGTTGAAGGCCGTACTGTGACCTATAGCTGTTAATTTCTGTGTCATTTGGTCTCTTGTGCATGTGTGGAGAGTTGTCTCATTGGCAATCATACCACATCTTCTTTTTTATATTTACATCAACAGATATAAAAAATTCACCAAAGTCAAGGTGAGACAACAAAACTTAGTTGTAAGATCTCTGAAATTTTTTACAGGGTACGAGTTTTTCTCATTGTTGGAGATTGTACGGTGACAGTAACACCTGTAACTGCTTAAACCCATTTCTTATGCACTTTAGTTTGATAAACTCACTGAATATCATACCACATCTCCTTATTTTTATATGCATTACAATTTACATGTGCATGTAATTGTAAATATATATATATCAGAACAAAATTCATTGCGTCACTTTTATTTATGCATCCTTTGGCACAATACAAGTTCTAAAATTACAGAACATAAAACAACTAAATGTTATTTCAGATGAAAGTTTTGTTTCAGTTCCATTCATAGGATTTATTAGAATTTTGTATGTTTTGCCAAGTCCAATAATTCGCTCTATGTGACATAGAGACATAGTTGACTAAACCACCAGGTGTCGATCATTCAAGAATTTTCAGTTTTTCTGTTTTTATTTGATGAAAAGGTTGCCTGAGCTCTAGGAGCTTTAGGTTTTATCACGGGATATTCTGTGCTGTCAATAATAATCCAAGTCGTAGGAAACTTTAATTTGAAGTTGGACGGTGAAAAATACCTGACTAAACCACTAGATGGCCAAGTGTTAGCCTCACACCACTGTTTAGACATAAAAACAATCCATGTATACACAATATTCTTAACACTAGATTCAATCTAGAATCTAGACAGTTCAAAGTTGGTTGTATGATGCCTCAATTTCATCAAAGTCATAAAAAAACTGATTTTCAACTGACACCTTATAAATTTGAAAATATATGTATCTCTAACAATGTGCTGCTGGACCAAGTGTGGTCAAAACAAATAAAAATTTAGTATACAACTCTAAACCGGTATAAAAATGCATGGCTGTGTCACGTGTCTTCATTTCAAAATTCTCTGCTGAAAACATAGGCATTGATGGTGTTTGCGTAATTCCATCTGTGAAGCTCAACATTAGCTCGGCAGTTGGTGGTGGACAGTCATAAATCCTTTCTGCAGTATGAATGACTTCTTCAGGAAAACCAACTTTACAATCAAAACTTTCCTCTAGATTTCTACTACAATATTCATCAAGTTTAGTTCTTTTGTTTTCACAGGAAACTGCCCTGATTTTTCTTTTTGCAGACGATTCAGTCTCTTGCTTGGTCCAGGAAAATAGGCTGGGAATTGCAGTAGACTTAAGTCTCTGTATGGTGGGTTTGCGCCCTGAAAAAGGTTATAAAACATTAGTTTTTTTATAATTAAATGAACTTCCATTAGCAATGTATACTTTGTACTACCTGGCGAAATATTAACTAGATTTATTCATTACAATCTGGATAAAACTATGTTTGCCTGATTCAATGTATGTTATGTAAATCCAAAGGACAAACAATGAGAGACTTATGCAACAAACGTACATTGTTTGTACCTAAATAACTATAATATAGATGAGAGCATGTCATTGTTTTGTTCCTGTTAACATTGTCATTGATATTTTTCAAGAAAGTCTATGAGGCATAGCTTATGCATTCCTGTCATTACTACATTAGCATAATTACTGCTAAAATAATTCTCAGTATGATATACCTCTTGTAAGAAATCATTATAATTGTAGCAATCACCAAAAAATCTCAAACAGATCACATTGAATCGTAATCCAAAAAATTATGACGTCTTGAATTACCCACCCCCTTTTATTCTAAAACGATAATTGCGGTTGTAAACAGACTTTGGTTTATTCGCATGGCGATTACATATATAACTATATATTTCACAAAGAAAATAGAGTTTTACCATGAATAGTTTCCTGCACGTAGTCTTTTTCAGTAAAACGTGCCTTGCAAACAACAGCTGATTGAGATGGACTCCACGATATCATCGTGTTCTCGTCCAATCTGTGTATGGGCCATGGCGTTGATCCAACTTTTCCTTCTTTTTAAGTCATTTGGAAATGCATGTCCTCCTCTTAAATGACATCCAGGTACACAACAACAAGTACTTGGCATCGTTAATTAAAAATATAACTGAAATAGTTGCGCAGTGCAGAAACCGGAAGTAGAGGAACAGGATCCGCTACCACGGCGCCACCTATTCAGGAACGATAATTTGCTACATTATATAACTGCGAAAATAACGTTAGACGGGTTCACGTGCATAAACAGATATGCGCTTTAAGTTGTATAATACAATTCATGTTCAGTCGACCTTTAATTATTATATCAACGACTGAAATGATTTATAAACATCTAGATTGCAGATAACACTCGAAATTAACCCGAGCTCTTTCCACACGGAATTCAAATAATTCTAGTTTGTCAATCGGTTGACTGCTTATAATGCAAAATACTAATATATCAAAAGTTTTTAAAACTAACTAAACACAATGATCGTTTCTCTATTTCCCAATGTAAATGAAATGAAACAAAAAACATTTTATATCGCAATAAGAAGAGGAGAGAATTCAACATTTCCGGATCTACTTGGAGTCTAATGACCCCCCACGTAGATAAGTTGGATATCGCGGAAGGAAGGATTAACCCGGCAACTAGAAAGGCATTAAAGCACTGCCTTTAAAAACAAGATGGTATTTCATAAATTCATGTTTACCAGGATGATAAAAGAAATTTCTGAGGAAAACAATGTGAAGTCACCATATTCTCACTTGACTCCACAGAGTAAAACCATTCTCAGTGGAGTAGCTTGATATGGAAAATTATCAAAGAAAAATATCAAGAAAAATTTAAGAAAATAGTATTTTGCTATTAAATATCTTTTTTTATCTTGTTGGAATGCCTAAACCTACATGTAGTTCTCTTATTGTTGATGTTGATTTAATTGGTTAAAATACTGAGAGTTTAACTCACCTGCCACCAGTTTGGGTCTTCAGAAGTAAGGATATGTAGAATATCCCCATCACTGAAAGTCAGGCCTGCATCTTTACTGGGAATCAATCTGTCCTTCAGAGGGTCATAGTTAAAGTGGGCCTTCATAAACATCTGAAATGAAAAGGGTCAAAGGTCAAGTTAAGATAAATATACATTTGTAACTGAAGAAAAAAATATCTAACAATAAATTCTGAGGTTAAAAGAAGATGCAGAATGAAATAATGAACAAAAAACTTTGACTGCCAATGGAAAAAGAGGGTGTATAAGTGGAAAAAGGGGGGCGGGGTCTAACTTTTCTGTAACAACAAGCTTATGCTATACTATAGTTCCACCAATGAAGATCAACACATCATTAAATTATCATTTGGAGAATACCCCATTTCCCAAACAGGTTTTTGTACTTTAAGATTCTATCATTTTTTATAATCTTTAATGTTTCTAAATAAAAGGAAATATTGTGTGTACATTAATGTAAAAGCAAGCAAACAAAACAAAAAAATAAATATGTGAAGGTCAAAGTCTGTACTTCAAAAATAAACCTGTTTTTCAAACATATCTCTAACTAATAAATGAAAAATAAAAATTTCAAGTACATGTACTGGTATAGTATTTCAAATTGAATTGGGAAAAATAACAAGACAACAATTTAAACAATGACTCAATGTGTGGTTGATAAAAAAGATTATGGTTTACATGTAGACAATTAGAAAAAATAAGATTTCTATATACATGACCTTGTAGGGTGGAGGTTTAAGGTGGTATAAAACACCTTGACTAAAATTAATTTGGCTCGTTTGATTTTCATAAAATTTTGACAAAATATTTACTTTGACCCTTTGACAAAAATATAAAAATTTAAAAAAAACTTGAACCACACTCTTTAGCGGAAAAATTTCATTGGATATATAGCAGTTTGACAAACACTAATTTTGATCATTGAGAAGCTTAATACTTCCTCAACAATAGAATGTGATTTTTACAGAGTTATCTCCCTGTAGTGTTATGTACCATCTTAACTAAGGAACATATGACAACCTGAAAATATGAAAATATGAAAGCCTACAAAAAAAACGAAACCAAACTTTGACTACATCAACATACACCAGGATGCATACTGTGAAAGAAAACAAAATACATGGATATTGTGTGAATATGTAATTGCATTATATGAGCATCAATTGTTCTTATGTTTCCAGAAACCTTAACCAACTAATTTTTTAAACGATTTATTTTTCGAGAGTGGAAATATATTTGGAATACAAATCCATGCCAATAATTATGTCAAACATGAATCTTCCCTCAATTAAGTGGATACCCAATACTTTGGCCCAGGGCTTCCAAAATTATTTTTAGCCAGCCGGACATTTTATATTTTATCCTGATTTTAATCCCTTATGACTAAATAAACAAAAGGCAATTATGGTATTCAGTTGCTGAGTTGGCCATCCCAATGATTGACATTAAAAAAAAAACGATATTAAACTTTCTTTGATTCAAATTCGAAGTTCTGACATAAACTGTTAAATTGGCAGTGCATCATTCGAAGTGTGCAACATCAGCGTACTTATATCTGCCTTAAGACTCTTTATTTGTGCAAAATAACGTTGTCAAAAACTTTACATTCGTTAAAATCTTATACCGGATGTTATCTTGACAATGGTAAAACATGGACCAGAGACGGATACGTAAATTCCGTGTACGTTTGCAAAGCATGAATGAGTGTACGTAGCTCTTTCTACGTTATTTCTTCAAAGAAAATATTCGAAATAAACGTGAGATAAAGGTATCAATGACAATTTAAGCATTTTTTGAAAGAAATTAGGATGCATAATTAAATTTCACACCTGCGCACATGCGCACAGGTGTACTAGTTCAAACAGAGACATGTCTCTGGTTCAAACAACGTGGTTATAACGATTATTCAATTTCACCTTTTTAATTTTTTCATCAAATCATATTTGTAAACGTATTTCTGATAATTTAAATCTTTTTGACTAAATTAATTAGATGCAAACCGCTGAAATGTAAGAAAATAACTTTGAATAGACCAATCAATGTCCGGTTCAAAATAGTTTACCTGTCACCCGAACAGGTAAATTTCAGCTGTTCGACAACTAATTAGCCTTGATTAAAATGAGAAGGTATTAAAGTAGGGGTTGTTTTGATAGTACTTAATGATCATGTCACTTTTATGACCGGAAATGTGTGGCTGTTAAAGGCAAAAGGTTGGGTCAAAAGATCGAGAATTATGTTAAAATGACCGTCTCTTAAGAAAGCCTTGAAAACTAAAAAGTAGATGACCGTTTCATGCTTTGCCCAGCCGGACTTTTACCGGACATTATACAAATGTCCGGAATATATGACCGTTTTGGAAGCCTTGCTTTGGCCTATCTAAATTAATAAAATTATCACAAAATATTTACCTTGACCTGTTGACAAAAATATAAAAATTTCAAGAAATTTGTACCACACAATTAACAGGAATAATTTCATTGGATATATAGCAGTTTGACAAACACTTATTTTGATCATTGAGAAGCTTGATTCCTCCTTACTAAAAGTATATGATTAAAGCATTCAGCTGATTTTTAAAGAGTTAACTCCCTTAGGTGTTCTGCACCCCTTTAAATACTCTAGGAAAGATAGAAAATCGTAAAAATAAATTACAACTTGAGAACAACTGTGATACACATAACAACAGAGTAACGTTAACATAACACTTATCCTACAAACCTGTGATACATAGCTTAGTTCTAGCTGTAAAGAATTGAAGAGGTCAAAACTTTAGTCTATAGACTAACTAATGTTAGTATGACAAATGTCATGGACAATCGATTTTTTGCTTGGTTAACATCAAGAGGCCATTATTTCATGCATATTCAGGAATACAAATGTCATGGAAATCTATATAATTAACAATCATGATCATATTCTGTAGTATTCTCAAAACTATTGATTCATTTGTTTCTGTGGGTAACATTTTTGTAGATTGAGAAATAATTGTGTTCCCTTAGAACTAGCATCAAATTAATAAAAACTGTAGCAGGATGATTGGATGTTGTTGTAGGCGAGAACAAATTAAAAGGCAGCAAATTGCCAACTGAAGAAAACGTTTGTTTCACAAATTTTGTCCCTACTTTGAAACAAAAAAAAACAACAAAAAATGGGGAATGCGCCCATGGGACACAGATGATGCCCCCACTTGCATATAACGTTATAAAGGGACATAACTCAAGAACAGTAAAAGTGACGCCACCAAAATTCAAATTTGATCTGTGTTTTGTGGTAATAAGCATTGTGTATAAGTTTCATACATTTGGTTGAGCCAAACTAAAGTAAGAGAACGGAAACCAATTTCGGACGTATGGACAGACGGATGGTGGGGGCAGAAAAATGTGCCCAGAAATACAAAAGAAATGCAACATTTACCTGGGGCCAGACAAGACAAATGCCACGTTTACCTGAGACAACAGAGGACAACATTCATCTGAGACAACAGAGGACAACATTTATCTGAGACAAAACATGACAAGATAAATGCAACATTGACCTTAGACAAAAAAATTCAAATGAAACATTTACCTAAAACAAGACAAGACAAATGAAATATTTTTCTGAGACTAGACATGAGAAATGCAGTATTTATACAATACAAGACTAGACAAAACAAATGCAACATTTACCTGAGACAAGAAAAGACAAATGCAAAATTTACCTGAGGCAAGACCCAAATTATGCAACATTTTACCTAAGGCAACACAAGACAAATGCAAGGTTTACACGAGACAAACATGACAAATGCAACATGTACCTGAGACAAGACAAGACAAATACAAGGTTTACACGAGACAAGAAAGACAAATGCAACATTTACCTAAGACAAGGCAAGACAAATGCAATATTAACCACAGACATGGCAAGACAAATTCAACATTTACCAGAGACATGACAAGTCAAAGACAACATTAATCTGAGACAAAAAAAGGCAAGTGCAACTTTTACCTGAGACAAGCTTAAGGCATGATAAATGGAACATTTACCTAAGAGAAACAAGAGTGTTGTTCAAAAATGTATGCAAATACAGTACGGGTAGAGACTTATTACTATAAATAACGGACTGGGACATGTCGGAAATGAATAATCCGACTTTTTTATGGTAGGTAGTATGGTCATTAATCAACAGATCCAGGTGTGAACGGTAATATAATTGTCCTTTCATCTCAATCCGTGCTACTAGATTATTACGCTTCACTGATTTCAGAATCAGGTTACCTGTGATTTAAACCTCTCAGTTACTTTATTGATTAGTTCTACATCGTATTTGACATAAAATATTTTTACAGGTGAAGTACTGGAGACAACTTTGTTTTAATAAAAATAGCCTATTTTTTTAATTATGGCTTTTTATATTTCAAATGCTGTTTATATTCCTCAAAATATTATTTTCTATGTTCCCTGGTTTTTTTTTGTTATGTATTTTTTTCGTATTTGTTGGCATACAGTTTTTGAAATATTTTCTTTTTTATTTCTGGAAGGTTATTTTTGTTTTACTGATTTATTTTCCACGTAAACCCATTGATTAGCAGAATGATGTGCAAAGTGCTGCTGCATACGTTTTAGTTTGACAACACTACATTTGTATTTAATTTTCAGTCTGCGTTGGGTCAGTTCTGAAATAAAAATAATTACAGTGAGCAATACTTGTATACTAGTAGTTTGGTGATTCTTTATAATTGTGAATTCAGTTTTTACTGTAAACAAATATTGTCCGAAAGTTGGTGATATATAACTTAAGTAGTACGCAATTAATAACACTAGAAGAAGATAACGATTCTTCTCGGGAATTGATTTATTTTGATATTTCTGTGTTTGTTAAATATGCATGAAATAATTGCCACTGACATGAATGGACATTAAAACTAGAAGCATTCAATCGTTTGATGACCAGTTAATTAAATATTTACTATGATTTGTAGTCTAAAGAAATGCAATTACTCCTATTTAAATAATCTTATGGTGCTGCATTGACTCTTAATTGCATAATATTAATTTACGCACAATGCATGTTAACTTGTATGTTGTATTTTTGACACCAATCTAAAAAAATATTTGCCGTAAAAAGACAATTCCATGATACACATATCAGTGATCAACAGCATATGGTTGAACTTTGAACTTGACTTCACTCTCAATACAATGTTGAATGCTAAAAATAGCTGGGATTAATTTTGTCAAATGCACGTGATTTTCATATGGCGGGAAATATCGTAACAGTAAACACAGGTGACCTTACTGACCGACCGTGGGAAAATCCATTCATGATTTAAAATGATACGTAATGATTGGCAGTATTGTGCGTTAGTTTTGAGGCTCTTGACCGAGATCCATTAATAATTGATTTACCAGAATAGAAAATTTAATCCTTGTTATTATAAAAAAAACAAGCTTTAGTCTTCTTTAACTATTTTATTTATTATATTTATTAGTCAACACCCAGATTCCTATTTAAATAATTTATTCGGACACCTCCTTTAAAGTTCGGGAATTATACAATTTAAACTGCCACATCGATTTACAAAATCTTACTGACTGCACAAGCTTTAGAGAATGGCTAGAAATACGACGCAAAAGTAAAGACGGCTAATCATGAATAGTGTAAAACTTTGATCTTCATGTATTGATTGACACAATTCGTAAAATATGTTTATAAAAACACGATTTTCATTAAAATTTCAAACATGGAAATAGAAAGGCAATATCTTTGTTATGATACAACGAGTGTCAACAAATCTGTTATTTCTATTATATGTAAATTTATTAACAAACAAAATTTAAAATAGTGCTGGGTCATAGAATATTGACGTGAAAAGTTTTTTTTATATAAAAACTAGGAATCGAAAGATGATCACTGCGTTATAAATATTGTAAAAAAAACAATTGTTTCAAAGAGATTAACGGAAAATATATGTCAAAATAGAAAGCAGGGATGATCTGGCTGACCAAATTGTTTTACTTGCGAGAAATGTTTGACAGGTATGAATAGACGTAGAGGCTCCGACGGGGAACGTGGTCTCGAAAGGAAAATAACAGTTTATTCACAATGCCTATATTCAATTTGTTTATATACTTTATAAATATGATATGTTGGCCTTATACTTAGAATTGTGTTTCTATTAATAACTTTAAGGAACAGGACGTTAAAAGGGGGAAATATTGTAACCATCAACGAAAACCCGTATAATTTACGGGATTGATGTCTCAACATTTTGATTAAAACTTCGATTGAAAACAGTCCTGGTTGTTATAATTTTGAATAAAATGAAATATTTACGGTTTACAAATACAAATACGAATAGTTTATTGGCACAAACACAATTATTATAATTGGCAACACATTTTTACAGTACATTGTTAAAAATCGTCTTTCTTTCATTTTCAAGTTAAAAAAAAGTTGATCCCATATTCATGATATTAAATTTTAATTTTTATTGTAATTTTTTCTTTTTGAATATAAAACAATATTTTACATTTATTATCTATCCTCCATAAATACTAAAATATCTGTACAGGTAAAATTTAATTCTAATCAAGCTGGTACAGATTGATTTACGACCTTCCACTCGGATATTGTACAGGTTGATATCACAGCAGGTGTTAATTACACTCAGACAACTGTCCGGCCAGTCTGACATCTAGACGGATTAAGACATCCATAATAATAAGTCTCTACCCGTACTGTACATGTATATTCATTGTTCTAAAATAAACCCTTTTAAGCCCTATGTATGGATTTATGCTAATATCATGTCACAAATGGGTATTTACATTAAGTTAAATTATTACTACCTGTGTCTTAAAATTAATATCCTGCATTGTTGGTACAATTTTAAATGTGATTTCACTCTCCGCCACTCTGATAATATCCATCAACTGTTCTGGCGTGGCTACAGGTATCCCATTCACTTCTTTTATGATGTCGTTAACATGTAACATACCTGTATAAAACATATTGAAGCAGGTGAGATTTTCAAATATGATATAAAATTAGTTGAGAAGTACTGAAAGTCAAAATTTTTTGCACATGCTCACTGGACACAATTCACTACCTTGTACAATGCAATTGAGTGAACTACATGTACTAGCAAACATTATTCTAAGTTGTATTATGCATGCAGTGAACTTAACATTATATTGATTTCCTTTTGAATATTAGAAACACACAAAATTGTACATATAAAGGGTATTCCTACTAACCTTGTTTATCAATGACACTACCAGCTAAAACTCTGGCAATTCTCAAATTAAAATTCTCATCTATTTTCACTGTAATACCCTGTAAAATAATAAAGAATTCTACAATAATGGTTTTGATTTAAGATCCTATATGTTGTGTTTAATGTAAAATAAAGGTTGATATGAAATGGAAGAGAAAAGATATAGTGTATTAATGATTATTCATGACACAAAATCCCTACATCATGTACATGAACTAAACAAAACACAAAGTTAAGTAATTAAACACTGTATGAGATGCTTTCCCTGTACTCATATTTTGTGTGTTTCTAAAAATGCCTATGCAATATGGGAACTGTGTTCAATGGTATATAGTTGAGTAACAAAAACTTTGTGAAATTAACAATCAATTTTGAAATACCTCTCTGACGACATCAATACAAACATGTTCAAAGTCCTCAGATTACCAGAGTCACCTACAATGTTAACTTAATTTACAACACTTTGGATGTTTCTTTTTTATTCTGCAATCTACACATATGGTTATTTGTGTCATTGTTTGTTTTTCGTTAGTTTTTCTGTTTTGTGTACCTTTTTCATAGAAGTTAATTCAAATATCCTTTTAATTCAAATTTATATTCGTTATTTTCTTTACACTATACATGACCGTGGAAAACTTAATAACATGCCTGCTAATTGCATAATCCTGTTATATCTGTAAGAATTTAAAACATAAGCCATTTTTTATCAATTTTCATCTTTTTTTTAATATATTGCCCTGTCCATAGCATACTTTTCTTAAATAAAATATTTCAGTCAAAAATGGATAGCATCAATATCATAATGAAAAATAGCAAACACGATCATGAAAATAGTATATACAAAACTATCACTGATTTCAAGGGAAATAACTCACAAAGAAAATTTCAAGGGAAATAACTCAAAAAGAAAATTTCGAGGGAAATAACTCACAAAAGATAATTTCAAGATAAATAACTCATGAAAGATGATTTCAAGTCAAATATCTCACCAAAGATGATTTCAAGGGAGATATCTCACCAAAAATAATTTCAAGGGAAATAACTTGCCAAAGATAATTTCAATGGAAATAACTCACCAAAGATGTTGTTTTATCCTTCTTGATACTGACAAGTCTAACATGGTCTGCTACAGCACTGAAAACTGGTGGAGGAGGCTGAGCTAGCTTGTTAGTTTCGTATAATTCTTCTTCATAGTTTTTGTCTGCTACATCATCATAGGCTTTCATCAAAGCCTAATAAAAACAAAGATTATTTTCAGTCTTCATTTTGGATTTCTTCACATTACAACAATTAACCTTTATCAAAGTTAAAACACTCTTTTTGTGTGATTGTGATAACTTTTTTGCAATAATCTATGCATTACAGAACACACTTAATTTTTATTTAGATTGTCATTAAATTGTCAAAATTCTGCATTACCTTGAAAATATCTACTGTACATGTGGAATCATTTATTTAAGTGGGTACCATATTTCGTGGATTGAGGAAAAGTTTTTTCGTGGATATTTATTTTTGTGGATTTGCTAAAGTCTTAATATAAGCCTAGAAAACTGATTCTTTGTTTTGAACATCTAAATTTGTGATTTACCCGTACCACAAAAATTAGTACTCTACTAATAATAATGAATCTACAGTGATGGTTAAAGGCATTTTAATTGAATTGTGATAGCTGCTTTTGAGCTCTGGTTTGAAAGAAAACGTTGAAGACAAGATCATTGTTGGAGCAGGATGGCAATATTTCCTCAACATCTTTTTGTTGTATAAACCTACCCCAATATGAGGATCTGACAATATCTCGTCTAAGTCTCTTCCATTGGCGGTTCCTACAACTTTCTGTATGACATTGGCAACATCTGCTAATAACTTCTCTCCTCTAACATCACTGGGAGGATTGGATAACGGAAGCTGCAGCTCATCATCGGCCTATAACACAAAAAATATATTTTAGTCTTTTATAAACATTTGTGTAAAAGAATTAAAAAAAACTAGAGGCTCAAAGGAGTCTGAATTGTTCACCTGGAGATCAGTATAATTTGCAACCATTCGTGCCACACAACACGAAATGATGATTTTTTTGTAGATAGTTTCCCCATCAGCAATTTTATAATTTTTGAAAAATTTTGCACTGTAGTTTCAGAGGAGAAGAAATTTAAAAACTTGACAAATCAGAATAAAAAATTGCCTCTGGTGCCCATGTTTTTTAATAATCTGATCAAAAGAAATATGAGTAACTTTGATAGACACCTTTCAAAAAATTATTCCTGCCAAGTTTGGATCAATTTTGCCCAGTTGTTTCAGAGGAGATGAAGGAAATGGGATTTCCCATGGGCTTCAATGGAAACCTATTTACTACTGTAGCCAACAGGTATGCCATGTAATTAGATATAAGAAGATGTGGTATGAGTGCCAATGAGACATCTCTCCATCCAAGTCAAAATTTATAAAAGTAAACCATTATAGGTCACAGTACGGTCTTCAACACGGAGCCTTGGCTCACACCGAACAGTAAGCTATAAAGGGCCCCAAAAAATTACTAGTATAAAACCATTCAAACGGGAAAACCAACGGTCTAATCTATATAAAAAACGAGAAACGAGAAACACTTATGAACCACATCAACAAACGACAACTACTGAACATCAGATTCCTTTAATCACCATTAAAGGAGGATTTTTGTATAGGGTCTCCCAATCATTAATCCTATAAATTTTGAGAAGAAATACAAAAATTTGACCAATCAGAATCAAGAATTTTCTCATCTCTTCATGCTTGTGATCTGAACGAAACTAAATGAGGTCTTTTAAAGGACACTATTCCAAACATAATTGTTACAGAATTTGGTACAATTTGACCAAGTGGTTTCAGATGAGATGATGAATTGTCTAATGACTGAAGTAAAGTGATGACAATACTTCATATGGCCCTATATGGACCAGGTGACCTCAAAAGTCGGTGTTGCCACAATATAACACAAGCACCTCCAGTCAACCAGACAGAAATTAATACATACATGTATTCATGGTATTTATGAAATAAGATTATTCGTTCAAAATAATTTTTTCAAAAGAGAACCGCCTTAGTGTTTCCTACAGGAGGTTTTGGCGTGGTATGGCGCCCTGCCATATTTTCTTGACACCCTGCCCTTTTTAGGAAAAAAATTTGGTGCCATGCCCCTTTCTGTTGTATTTTAGAACATCCCGCCGTAGTTTAATATTGGTTCTGTAATTCATCTTTTAGCTAGATCATTTCAAGTTATTTCCATTGGAACGAAATCAAAATTTTAATGACCGACATTTTATTGAATTTCGTAATTATGTTTGAACAGTTTTGAAGCGACAGAGTACAAATACAATTCATGATTAAATCTAATAGGGACAACATCGATTTGTACCTCTACGAATTTAAAATGTAGAAAATTTAAAAGGGAACCAGACGATCATTTGAGTTATAATTTTACGATGCATGGGATGAACATTACTACTAATTACTAAAACAATAAGTCAATATTATGTTTGTTTATATTTTCTATTTATACTATTCGGTCAGATTGGGTGTGAATTTACGACGGCTTTCATAATGTTGTTATCTTAATAAAATTAAAGTAAAGAATATAGCTGATATAGTTTAGAATAAAACAAAAAATCAACGACGTTTCAATAAAAAAAAAAAAAAAAAACCCAGTTGGAAAAAAGATGCAAAGCAGAAGAATATGTATAGTGAGCCTTGCTATACAAATCTTTGAATATCCTTAAACTATTTGTACAGTTATGAGCCAAGGTAGCTTTGATTGGTATAAACATGCGAGATCCAAAAGGTATTTGGCACTTCTTTTGTGCATCTAAAAAGCAATGCATTGCACATGCACTTGGTCATACAAAGTCCACTTTCACAACATATCCTTAGACAATCAGTCTCAGTGATCCAGTATTAAAGTTTATAACTGGAGTTATTGATTGAAATGATGCAGTTGAACACTGAACATGATCAAGATTCTATTAGCTGAGTCTAGAAGTGATAATTTTATTACAAACAGGAATAAAATTAACAACCTTTATTCCTTACCAATAAATATGAAACAATGGTATATTCTATTAAATCCCTATCCATTACAGTGCCTTTATATCTATGTAAAGAGTGCCCTAAAAGTGTAGTCCTCCGCGCAAGGGTGCCCTTAAAGTGTAGCCAATCACGCTGAGTGCCCTCTGAGAAAAAAATTACCCTGCCCTTTTCAAAAGCTGCAGGAAACACTACATGCACTATGCCCATTGACGTATAGAGACTTTTACCTGTGCAATTTTTTGAACAACAGGATCTGTTAAAAAACTTTTCAGAAAGTCAAGGTCAGCGTCACGTGCACCTGTTCTATCACCAATGTCATCAAGCTGTGATCGTAGGTCATGGAGACAATCTAGAACATACACATTGGTAAAATTAAGTGAAAAAATCCTTTCATTGTTGAAACAATGAAAAAATTAACTATCATCATTGTTTGAAGATTTTTGAAATTATCAATCTTTTTTTTAATATTTTTATTTAATTACGAATAAGTAGGTACTGTAGACTTTGCCAAAACCTGCAACAACATTTATTGAGGAGAAACAATATTTTATTTCACTAGTTTTAAAAGAATGCAGCCTTTTATAGTCGACTTTACGGTATGGGTTTTTCTTATTGTTGAAGATGAAGGCTGTACGGTCATGACAGTTGCCTATAATTGCTTACAACACTTCTTTTGAACTCTGGTGGATAGTTGCCTCATTGGCAATTATACCACTTCTCCTTATTTTTATAACAAAGTTTTACACATTCAAACATTTATTTACTCGTATTATAAGTTCACTGTAAATTTTAAATGGTAGATGTGTACAAATGTGTATATCTATTGAGAGTTTGAGACTCAATAGTCTCTCATAAATCTTTTTACCATTGGTGCATACATTGGAAATATTTTTATGTGGTGAGAATCTAATATATATTGAATCTGAATCTACTTTTACTTCTTTATTTCTTAACTAGATAAATCACACTCTGTGTCATTTTTCCAAAACAATATTGTGCAATACATGTTTTTAATGTGTCCTCCAAAACAATTTAAAATATCAAAATACTAAAGAGGAAATGTTCTATTAGCATCTATTCTTGTTGATGAAGTTGACACATATATAGTGTAAAGTTAACACTGAGGGTGTGAACTTCATGATGAAGTCTTCATCAATAAGAAGCTAATCCCAATTCACAACATCAGTGTAAAGTAAACACTTAAGGTGTGAAACTCGTCAACAAGAGGCTTATCCAAATTCACAGCTTCAGTGTAAACCAAACAGTGTAATAAAACTTCCTAAAAATTTATTTCTGATAGGAACTGTGTACCTCGGCCATGCTGGCACTAAATTTCGAGAGAAAATTGATCTGAATTCAACTAGTCTATATGACACTATAATTAGTATTATACATTACATATAAAATCATTACATGAACATAAATCACTGGAATACGTCAAATTTAGATATTTTATCTGTACACAAGTCAAAACAATAACAACAATGCTAGAAAAATGCAAAAATATATCATTGCCAAACAGGCAAGAAATGACTACTATTTTTAAATGCTAAAAATTGTTTGGTACCATGAAAACCAGTTAACAGTATTAGATAAGGAACATTACCAAGTGCAGTCTCTTGACTGTCAGTCGTTGCAGCTGGCATTGTTACACTTTAAATTCACATCTGAAAGTACAAAACTGAAATTATTAGAGAATAAATAAACATAAAAATTAAAACCAGGGTTTACACTAAGGACAGTCCTCAAGTCCTGGACTCGTCATTTTCTTAACTGATGAGTCCAAAGATGCTTCAGTGTGTACAATGTTGTATCAATTGAGCCAAGATTAGTGTTTGATTGTACAGTATTTACTCCTCATGTCACTGTTATGACTGAAAAAAGTGTGCCTGTGCTGGAGAAAAAGTACATTGTATATTCAAATACATGTAGATCGCTTAAACATTGTTAAACTTCAGATTTTTTCTCTTAATTTTGTGAAAGTTGTAAATCCACATTTGATACCTCGCAGTTAAACAGAATGAAATTTTGGAACAACTTTTAATTTAATTTGAAGAAAATTCTTCGCTGGGCACAGCTTGATATGACCGCAGAGGTCGAACCCTGAACAGTTGGGGCAATTATGGACACAACATTCAAGCTTGATACAGCACTGAATTTGGATTGTGATTAAATATTTGACACAGCATAGGTTTCTGACACAGAATGAATGTGGTCTAAGAACTTTAAAAATTTTAATTTACCTATTCAAACCATTTCATTATTGTTTGCTTTTATATATAAATCAGAAATAACCAATTTAAAATGGAAAATTTTAAAGAAAAAAAAAAATCTCTCCCCCAAATTTTTTGAACCCCCTTATGATTCATCACATCCAAACTCAATCCCAGCCTTCCCTTTGTGGTATGGTACCTTGCAGTACAATTTCAGAGAGATCCATACACTTGAACACAAGTTATTGTCTGGAAACTAGAAAAATGCTTGTTTTTAGGCCCCAAATTCCTAATTGTTTAGGGCAATTACCCCCAAACTCAAACCCAGCTTTCCCTTTGTGATATGGAACCTTGCAGTACAATTTCATAAAGATCCATACACTTACACACAAGTTATTGTCCTGAAACTAGAAATGCTTGTTTTTTTTCGCCATTTTTGGCCCTTAATTCCTAAAATTTTGAGGCAATTACCCCCAAAATCAATCCCAGCCTTCCCTTTGTGGTATGGTACCTTGCAGTACAATTTCAGAGAGATCCATACACTTGAACACATGTTATTGTCTGGAAACTAGAAAAATGCTTATTTTTGGCCCCTTATTCCTAAATGTTTTGGGCAATTACCCCCAAACTCAATTCCAGCTTTCCCTTTGTGATATGGAACCTTGTAGTACAATTTCAAAAAGATCCATACACTTACACACAAGTTATTATCATCATATCATGAAACTAGAAAAATGCTTGTTTTTTGCCCCTTATTCCTTAAAATTTTGGGCAATTACCCCTAAACTCAATTCTAGCTTTCCCTTTGTGATATGGAACCTTGTAGTACAATTTCAGAAAGATCCATACACTTGCACACAAGTTATTATCATGAAACTAGAAAAATGCTTGTTTTTTGCCCCTTTTTTGGCCCCTTATTCTTAAAATTTTGAGGCTATTACCCCCAAAATCAATCCCAGCATTCCCTTTGTGATATGGAACCTTGTGGTACAATGTCAGAGAGATCCATACACTAACACACAAGTTATGTCTGGAAGTTACAAAAATGCTTATTTTTGGCCCCTTTTTCCTTAACTGTTGGTACTATAACCCCCAAAATCAATCCCAACCTTCCTTTTGTGGTATTGAACCTTATGGTAAAATTTCATAGAGATCCATTCACTTAAACTAAAGTTAGAGTGTGAAAACCAATGTGTCTTCGGACGATGACAACGTCATACCAATATACGACTGCAAAATTTTTTGCTGTCGTATAAAAACATGACATTTAAGAACCTATGATGTGTTCATGTATAATTCTTTGACAGAAAATGCAACATTGAAAACATGGTGGGTCAATGAACAGCTACTTGAAGATCAAACTTATTTTTCGACCCTTAAATTTGGTTTAAACTTACAAATATACTTGTTTTCTGTCTAATACCTGGAGAAGATAGGTTAGGTACATGTTGGTAAAATTAGGAAGAAATTAAATGGTGACCTGTCATGACTGTTAAGATTTTGATCCACTGAAAATTTCTCTTGATTTTCAAGTTGTTTATCTGTATTCATATGCTGATTTAGAAATAATATTCTATACCCAAAGTGTGTCTAAAACTACTTTGTTTAATAATAAGCTTACAAAATTATATTGCCAAGTATAACCTATTTCTGAAGGTAGTGCCCAACCTTTCAAAAACCATACACCAATTTTTGTGATAAACTTTATCAAGATTCTATTGGCCTGTAGTAGAAATATTAGAAACCTGATAATAAATTTACAAGCCTGGGCAGAGCCCGGCAGACTGGCCTGAGCTAAACGTGAAGACTGCATACCTTGCCAACCCTGATTTGTTCAACAAATGTGTCAGTTAAAACTGTAAAAGTGAAACAGATTTTTATATCATTTCGTGCACATATGAGATGAACAAGAACAGAAAGTTGTACTTGAACCAAAATCATACAATCAATGTTGCATGAAACAAATAGAACAGGAACCACCCTAAAACAAATATGGTAAATAAATCTAGGACAAACACAAAATAAAAACGGATATCGTTCGCCAAATTACCAGCTGCATATGTACAAATTCAAAAAGTTAGGATAAAGTTTATTGTCATGTCCTCTTTTTCAGTCAATTTATCCTTTTTTGAAAGCAAAACATGTGTTCAATCGGGCACTTCCGGGTTATAATGTTTACATTTAACAGCCATTTTCCAATTTTGCCTTACCTGTCGCCGGTGTGTCATATTTACAAGAATTTAATCATAATTTCAACATTTTTTTCGTTCAAATGTACTTAAAGTGCAAAAGAAACAATAGTTGACATATGCATATCTGTGTTAATTTACTTATTTACCTGTTTGAATACTTGTCTAGAGTAAAATGACGCGGTTTTCACCTGTGAAATATTTGTGACATTTATCCGACCAAAGTCGTTTGTAACCCCATCTATGATTGGCTGATAATAATTTCGCGAATTTTTGTATCTTCCGATGTTAAAATCAGAGATGTTCCAACTAGCAAAGTAAAAAAAACACCCGCGGGTGTTTTGAAAACACAATATTTATTAAGTAAAAAATAATTTGGTTGCAGGCAGTCGCTAACATGGTTTTGCTGTCCGTGTTATGTTTTTTTTTACTGTTGTTTGTCTTTCGCAGTTTTTATTTTTATCATAACGAGAAATCAACACATGAAAGACCACCAAATTATCCAAGAAGATCTGAAAGCTCTTGAAGTATATGGGCGTTTTTCAATAAAAACGTGATTTCTTGTCCCAGCCACTTTTTAAAAAAATGTGTTTGATCTTTACAAGTAATTTTTTGTGCAGTCAGTACATTTAATTAGATATAACATTTTTAAGCAAAGAAACATACTTTTTTTAGAGGGATTAATAAGATATTGATTCCTGAATGGTTCAAAATAATCAAAATGGCATGTCTATAGACCTCCTATTCAACATTCATACTCAAATATTGTAATAAAAGGTAGAAATAAATGTTATTTTTACTTAATATAAGTTCTTTAATTATTCAAAAGTATGTTTAGAGCCAACATATTTTAATAAACAGTTTTTGACAAAGGATTTTTTATTTTAGAAGGTGTGTCCCTGAAATTCCTGACAAAATGTCCACTACGAAACGAAGTCATTACATTTTGCTAATAAACAGTTTTATAAAATTAATGTTTGCAAGATGTATAAACATTAGGGTCTCACAATAGAAGTGATGCTTTTATAACGACAGTTAAATTGTTGGCAAAAAAAATTGAGCACATCAAATGGACCAGAGTGATACCGTATTTTTTAATGTCCACTACGAAACGGGTCAAATCTCCTTCAGTATCTGGTTTTAAAATCATGAAAAAAATATCAGTGTACAGCTTTTTATGTGCTTTGATGAACAGAATCATTTTTGTTACTATTACAATATAGGGATTGTGGGGAAAAAATCAAACATGTGAATATGTTCACTACGTAATGGTCAACTACGAAACAAGTATGAGAGAAAAACGTTTCGTAGTGGACACTACCACTACCATGCAGTCGTTTTTTACTGTTTTTTCAATTATATTCGTGCAAAACAAATACCAATGGTTAATTTCATGTAATTTTCAGTATGTTTTTATCAACATAGAATAGGGTTGATGTCAACTACGAAACTTTTTGTCAACTACGAAACGGTTTTGTCAACTACGAAACTCATCAAAATGTCCACTACGTAACATGAGTTGTACCTTCATATGTGAAGTACTGTCTAATCTTTATCGATAAAAAAAAAATGGTTCTCCAATTCAGAAAAATGAGATCTTTCTAGTATATAAAGGAAAACAAACTGGAATGTCAATAGGAGACATTAAAATGCCATACGATGTGCGTTTAGAAGCAGTTTCGTAGTGGACAAATGTCCCCTACGAAACAGTACATAAATTATGAAAAAAATATCATTTTGAAGAGTATTTAAGATTGCACATTTATTTACAAACAGGTCTGTAATAGAGGTATTCAAAATAACTCTTGAAATAAAATTTTAGACAAGTTGATTTTCCATTTTTTTTAGGTCTGAAATTCAAACTTTTATTGAAAAACGCCCATATATGGGAATGAAATTTAACGTTAATAAATGATACATTAAAAGTAATATAACAAAAATACCGAACTCCAAGGAAAATTTAAAACGGAAAGTCCTTTATCAAATGGCAAAATCAAAAGCTCAAACACATCAAACTGAAAGACTTAGAATGGAAACTTGACAACTGTCATATATTCCTGAATTAGTACAGGCATTTCCTTCAGTGTAGAAAATGGTGGTTAAAACCTGGTTTTATAGCTAGCTAAATTCTCTCATAATGAGATTACACTTCAACTAGACAACCACGTATTCGAGCAGGTTCAAACAAACCCGTACAGTACCTAATTCTAAATATACTGCTATTCAACTTCGTACTTTCAATGATTTGGCCTTTTATTTTTTTCTGATTCGAACGTCACTGATCTGATACGTCTTCTGTAAACGAACCGCGCGTCTAGCGTACACAATTATAAACCTGGTATATTTCATGAGTTTTTTTCTTACTACACAGAAATGTTTTTTATTGATGGTTTTAATTTTAGATATGGATAAATTTTTTTCTCGTCAAAATTTATTTCCAAGTTGACTATTTCCATTTTGAAAAAAGTTTCTATTTTTTCGCCAAGGGTTTGTATAGTAGATTAATTCATAAATCTTTGTTGTTTCCAACAGTGAAAATCTATAGGAGAGCGAGTAAACTTTCTGAAAAATGTTTAGCTTCAAGGTCACGGGAGGCTCTTCCTATATAAAGGTATACACAGACATGTCACCAGTATGGGTCACTTTTTTGGAATGTGAAATACAAATGTATATCAATGGGGTGCAATTTCACGGAGGTAATATACCAATGGGTAGAAATTTATGTGTCAATGGGTCATTTTCATCTTCTGTTAACATGTCTGTTAAAACTGTGATCTATTTTCCTAATAATATATGAATGATCACATGTGGTTAACGTCTAAATAATATATGAATGATCACATGTGGTTAACGTCTACATAAGATATGAATGATCACATGTGGTTAACGTCTACATAAGATATGAATGATCACATGTGGTTAACGTCTAAATAAGATATGAATGATCACATGTGGTTAACGTCTAAATAATATATGAATGATCACATGTGGTTAACGTCTAAATAAGATATGAATGATCACATGTGGTTAACGTCTAAATAATATATGAATGATCACATGTGGTTAACGTCTAAATAAGATATGAATGATCACATGTGGTTAACGTCTAAATAATATATGAATGATCACATGTGGTTAACGTCTAAATAATATATGAATGATCACATGTGGTTAACGTCTACATAAGATATGAATGATCACATGTGGTTAACGTCTATAAATAAGATATGAATGATCACATGTGGTTAACGTCTATAAATAAGATATGAATGATCACATGTGGTTAACGTCTAAATAATATATGAATGATCACATGTGGTTAACGTCTAAATAAGATATGAATGATCACATGTGGTTAACGTCTACATAAGATATGAATGATCACATGTGGTTAACGTCTACATAAGATATGAATGATCACATGTGGTTAACGTCTAAATAAGATATGAATGATCACATGTGGTTAACGTCTAAATAAGATATGAATGATCACATGTGGTTAACGTCTAAATAATATATGAATGATCACATGTGGTTAACGTCTATAAATAAGATATGAATGATCACATGTGGTTAACGTCTAAATAATATATGAATGATCACATGTGGTTAACGTCTAAATAAGATATGAATGATCACATGTGGTTAACGTCTAAATAAGATATGAATGATCACATGTGGTTAACGTCTAAATAAGATATGAATGATCACATGTGGTTAACGTCTACATAAGATATGAATGATCACATGTGGTTAACGTCTACATAAGATATGAATGATCACATGTGGTTAACGTCTATAAATAAGATATCACGAAAGCTGTGTAACACACATAAACGGGTTGTAATTTTTCTGTGAAATATATGAATGGGTAAGGATTTCGCATAAATCAATATATGAAAAGGGGGACGTCTGTACTCAAATTTGTACTTTAAGACCCCCGGGTTCAAGGTATGAAAAAAGACAACTTTACTTTTTGATGTAATTAATTTTCAAAATTAAGTTTCTTGATGGTTTTGATGACTTTTTAATTCACAATTTAGTTCACCTTCGTGTAAAATGTCACTTGAAAAACTTGTTAAATTTCACGAACAATTGACGATTTTTACCCATGTATTGCTTTTTTCAAAAAAATATCAGAATGTCTGATAACACACTTTACCACCCTTGTATTAAGTTTTTAAGTGAACAATGTATTAATCGCATTTTTTATACACCTTTCCAATTTATTTTTTCATATTTTTTTTGCTTAAAATAGAAAGAAGGAGATGAAATTCCGATTCACAAATAATTGGGTTTTTACAATCATAAAGGCAAAGTAGTGATTTGGTTCAGTTAAAAAAGGTAAAATAATGAGTACGCTCTGAAGTAGTGATTTGGTTCAGTTAAAAAAGGTAAAATAATGAGTACGTCTGAAGCTGTTTTAAAATGTTTTCTTTATTTAGAGTTAGAGACGATGTAGTTATATACCGATCAAATTAAAATGACTGTAATAAGATAAGTATTTGCCATTTTTAGTTACAAAAAAAAAATAGATGGCGGCTTATCAACAAGAATGCTGATAAAAACTTATGAAATATGTTTAGTTGAACATCTTGACGACCAAGGATGTTTATACCAAATACGAGATGAAAGGATTTGTGATTTTCTAAGGCAAAAAAAATATATGTGTTTCCTATTACATGGAATTTTAAATTAGTGTAGGAAGGTGTTGAAGTGTATAAACAGTTGTATTATTTACCTTTTTATTTAAGCAATGGTTGCTCCAATCAAATGATTTATGTATTTGACGCAGTCATTGTTTTGTTGATGCTATGCTTTTAACTTTGAATTCCTTTACCAATAAACTGAAAACTGTACATTTCATCTTTAATGAGCCTCAAAGTCCAAACAAAGTGCAACTGTACTTTATCGAATAAGTTGATGACAAAATAATGGATATGAATTGATCATCAATGTACTAGCATTATCACCAAATCCAACTGTAGATATATACACATTCAGAGGTCTCCACAAGGTCTTCAACTTGTGAATGGAAGAGTCATCAACCAAAGTCTTAGCCAATCAAAAGGGCAATCAATGGACAAAACACAAACCTGGGAACAGATAAGACACACAATAACATTCAAATATGAAAACTAAAAACAAATGAAAAAAATGGACCCGAAAAAACTGGGGTGACCTCAGGTGCTCTGGAAGGAATAGCATGTCCTGCTTCTTGCAAGATAACCACCGTGT